ACACACACACACACACACACACACACACACACACACACACACACTCTCTCCAACTTCAGAACCACCTCTGCTCAGTAACACAGCTAATGAACTGTGTATAAGATTTGATATTAAAAGCTTTCAATATCCTCAGATGAAAACATTTGGAGAAAATCTCATGCATGATGGGAGAGCCTGGATTTATATTTGACCTGCTATTGAGTTCGTATCAGAGACATCTGTCTCTTTCAAGCCTCTGTTTGAAGGTTCTTGTTCCTTTCCCCCCCCCATCTTTCCAGATACGTGTATGCCCCTGCACTCACTATACACTCTCTCCACCCCCTCCTGTTGTGAAACAACTGCCTGCTATACTGTATTATGAATACTTGGAGATTTTGCACGTATAATAAGACAAGCTACAGTTTGTTCATGTAAATGGGGGATCTTATTCACACACAGATGTCAGTCATGGAGTTCCACAGGGTTCTATGCTGGGGCCATTTCTGTTTTGCTGTTTACATACTTCCCTAAGGAAGTATCAATAAAAGGCATAGCATACATATTTGTTGCTATGCAAATGATACCCAACTTTATCTTTCTATGAAGCTAGATGACATATACCGACTAGTTAAACTATAGGCATATCTTTAAGACATAAAGCATATTGTACTCATTATTGCCCGAGAAAGATGAAAAATCTGCACTTCAATCACATCTTGTTTGTTTGAGTTGAAATCCACTGTGTTGGTGTACACAGGTGGTTCTTTGTCAACCAAAGTTTCTGGGTTAACCACTGCTGCTTTGTTTTCTATCTGTGTGGTTGTTTCCAGGAAAAAGAATATGTTGGTTTTGCCACACTGCCCAACCAGTTGCACAGGAAGTCAGTGAAAAAAGGCTTTGACTTCACACTCTTGGTGGCAGGTATGAGGTTTAAAAGGACACAACTTTGTCATGCACCAAAAGTGTCAAACCAAGACAGGATGTCATTATATCAAACTTTCACATTACACTTTCTGCACAGCCTGTTTAAATATGAATTGCCATCTAACAAGCTACATATTATAGGCAAAAGGCTAACAGTAGTCTGTCACATTTTATTTAAAAACTTTGACTAGTTAGTATATATGTGGGTATTTCAGAATATGTCCATCAACATATCAGGGCCAGAACTCACAGCCATCAAAGTTCATGTGAGGTATCATGCACATTGTTGTGGGAGCTTGGTGTAGTAACAGCTTGTTTTTTATTGCTAGCAATAAGTCAGACTCATTCCCAGTGGTACTGGACTCCACCAAGACTGTCTTCTGTCACCAGTTCTGTTCATCATTTTCAGGTGCAGCCAAGAGGTAGAGGATGTTGGGTTTTGTGGTCTTAATATATCATCTCGACTTATTGGAGATGATGTAGTTCTGTTGGCTTCACTGAACCATGACCTCAACTTGCACTTGAGAGACTTGCAGCTGAGTGTGAACTGCTGGAATAAGAAGTAGCACCTCCAAGCGTAAGGCCATCGTTCTAAACTGGAAAAAAGTGGAAAGCTCCCTCTCGGTTGGGGATGAGTTGCTGTTCCAAGAGGAGGATTGAGGTCATGTGGATTGAAGACTGGCAGATGGATTGGTGTATCTTCTGCAGTCTGTTGTGGTGATCAATCTACATTTGTACCCTAACGCATGGCCACAAGCTCAGGGTGGTGAAGAGTACAAAGAATGAGATTTTGACTACAAGCAGTAGAAAACATCAAAAAGTATATTTGCTCAGCATTAGACAGAGAAGCTGCTACTCCTCCACATTGAAAGGAAATAAGCAAAGTGCTTCAGGCATCTAATGAGAATGCCTCCTGGGCACCTTATAGACTAGGTGTTGATGGATGGATTGATGAACAGATTCATGGATATCTGACCCACAGTCCTGTTATTATAAAGACAGAGGGAAATTGATATTGCCTGTTAAGGAATAGCGTTGGAGATTACCTCAGTTGAGAAATCAATGCTCAACATGTGTATTGCACAGACTGTAAATAAAAGATGGCTATTGCATTTTTGGGAACCAGAAATGGCCTTATTTGGATGACAGGCTCTTAAGTGCTAGCTTATCAGCTAATGCTAGCAAACTTCAATAGACAGCTGCATCCATAAACTCTATGGCTGCAACCCCCTGATGATACCTGATATTTAATGGCAAGTAACTGAGTAATAAAACAGAAAAGTTAATTAATACAAATCTTTTGCTAAAGCCCTTGAGTTAAGGCTGAGAGATTGAACTTCAATTATATGCTTGATATGCTTGTGTGATTTAGCTATCACTTTGGTAATGTGCAGACACACACCAAAAAATGGGATGGAAACCAAGAACCGGCTCTTGTAGAGAACCAGTACCCAGTAGTTCAATTTCTTGGAATTGCTAGTCTGCTTGCCTATCGAGCCCGCTTATTGATTCTACTTGTACATGCACTACAATCAACTGAGTTCAGTTTTATGCTGAAGGAGGAAATAGTGGTGCAGGCTGAGGAAAAGCTGAGGGAATGCTGACCCCAGCACAGCAACCAGACTGTGAACTTCAAAAGGTAACAACAAACTGATGAGCAGTCGGACTGCATCCTCTGTTTCTACCTGTTTATGTTTCTAAGGTGGAATCACCGTAGTGATCACTTTAAAGTGTCTTTCTGCTGGTTTTTATATTTGCTTTGTGCTATTGACTTTGTTCATACCTACATTCTAAGAGAATGTAGGTATGTCCTCATGCGTGTGTCCTCATTAGGGTAGGGATTTGTTTTGGTGTGTGAGACTATTTCAGGGGTAGATGAGCTGCAAAAAGCGTTGCTGTAAACATGTCAAATGGCAGATTCAAGCACCAGAAATTTCAGTCTTCACAACAATTGGCCCAGATAATCTTTATCCGAGCCTCACTAATTAATAACACAAGTTTTACTCCCTTGCTTTAACTGACAATAAAATTAGTTTCCATGTGACAGTGAGCATGTTACACTGATGTAATGATCAATATGTATCCTACAGGTGAGTCTGGCCTAGGTAAATCCACTCTGGTGAACAGCCTTTTCCTCACTGATCTTCATAAAGACAGAAAGCTGCTCAACGCTGAAGGTGAGTGACTAATCTATCAGACGTCTTCACACCATTCTTCTTGTTTCTTTCATCAGTTATACAGTGACTACAGAGTTATTGTATAACTCTCTGGTTTAATATCCATATCTGTTTGTTGTTCTGCCCTGAAGAGCGCATCAGTCAGACAGTGGAAATCACAAAGCACACTGTGGACATTGAGGAAAAGGGGGTGAAGTTGAAACTTACAATTGTGGACACCCCAGGATTTGGAGATGCTGTCAACAACACGGCGTGGTAAGGGTTGAGTTTGGACCGAACAAGATCAGCATGGTGATAAACATCAAATGGAAGAAGCCCTCTTATTTTTCTAAGTAAAGTGGACTTTACTTATCACCTCCTGATTAAATCCACGTAGACTCTTCTTTCATAAGGTCAGATTGTCTGCTTTGGACCATGTTTGAGTGAATGAACTGGTTAAGCTAGCTCAGACAGACACAAACTTGCTATTACTGTAAGCTAAGCAAACCACCTTCGAGATCAAAATGAGTCGTTAGAAAAGTAGATCAGTTTTTTAGCAAAACATGTAAATATGTAAATATGCCGTTATTTTCTAGCTGGAGGCCCATTACAGATTATATCGACCAGCAGTTTGAACAGTACTTCAGAGATGAGAGCGGACTCAACAGGAAGAACATCCAGGACAACCGAGTGCACTGCTGCCTCTACTTCATACCCCCATTCGGACATGGGTAATATATATATATTTTCTTCCACACACATATGCACACATGTATTGTACATAGATTCAGGGAAGTTCATATCTTCCTGCAGGCTTCATCCTGTTGATATAGAGTTCATGAAGGCCCTGCAGGATAAAGTTAATGTGGTTCCTCTCATCGCTAAAGCTGACTGCCTCACTCCCTTTGAGATAAAGAAACTCAAAGAAAGGGTAAGATCATAAAGACACTTGATTTCACTGCAATTATGACAGCTTTATAAGTGGAAAATAAAAAGTGAATTTATGCTGAAGTATTTTCACTGTAAAATAAATGAAAAGTCCCAAATTAATGTGAATGCTGTTTAAAAATTCACATTACTGAGATCCTTAACCAGCACTTAACTACTTCTGCATACTTCATGTTACAGACAAATTAATGGAAAAATCTTTAAATCCTCTTTAAAATCACCCTAACTTATAAGGTACAGTTTAAGTTTTCTGAAGAGTTTAATTCCTGGCATTTTCCCCACCACTGCATGTCATTACCTACTGTAAAAAAATAAAATAAAGACATGATACACAACCTGAATAGGTAATAAAGCAATAGACCTTTCAGCCCAATTCTACTTTTTCTGAATAATCCATCATATAAAATGTAATCAAATGAAAAAGTTTCTTTTTAAAACTTGTTTTATCAGTTTTAATCCTATAACCTTATGCACATTGCATCAAGCAAAAATGAAATTATATGCAGCAGTCTTTGACTTGAAGAAATTTGTTTAACATTTAAACTTATTTTCTGCACATTCCAGCACATAAAATAAAATAATGTTTTGTGTTTTACTTGCATCTTTCAAATAGATGCAAGTAAAACACAGTAGAAAATAAATAAAATCAAAGACTCTGCGGCACTGAGTCCTGTCGCTCTATTTTCTATTTTCTTAATCTACTTTCACCTGTTTAGCAGTCGTGGAGCCGGTGGAGGTTTGCCCGGTGCTGCAGCGGTGATGTCAGTGGGAGTATCCGGGGGTCTCTCTGTGAATTTCACATTCCCGTGGCAGCGTGCTCAGTACTTGCTCAGGAGTTTAGGGTTTTTTCGCTGTAAAAATAAGTTTTCTTCCCACGCAGTAAACAGCGGACGCTAATGTTTTTGTCACTTTTTACGGAGTCAAACTCAAAGTAATGTCAGCACTTAAGCTTTAAATGCTGCACAGTCATACTCTCTCTCGCACTCTATATATTATCCATTGTTGATCTACACACATATGTTACCACGAACGTCACATATGTCATTATCATGAGACACTCTCACTAATAAAATCACAGTTTAGTAACGCAGTGACACAGCATGCTTATGGGAAAGTAACAGTAATCTAATTACTTTTTTTGCAATAGTAATCCCTTTCACATCCATAAATAAACTTTACAAACATGAAAACTGAGTTAATGGAATTTTTTCCTCCACTGCATGATGACATCACCGGCTCTAAGAGGGTGGAGTATGATAAAAAAAATGTCTTTCTCTTTCTTTTACACAAATTTAAGCAAATTAAGATTATGTCTGTGAAGGTTCTCGGTCACCCAGGTCATCGTAGTCTTCCTTAGACTACAAATTAAGATTAGTTTGTGTATTTTTTTTGTTTTGTTTAGCACATTTTCAGGTTTTGGTACTCTTGTTTTTTACACTTAAGCTGGCTGTTATTTTGGTAATCTTATGCAATTAAGATTATTCTGCGAGTTGAGCTTTGAATATTTCAAATATTTTTAAACCTTTCAGGCAAAATCTTCACATTTTCAGCATTCACATTGCATTTTCACTCGGAGATGCTTTTGCTAGTATTGTGGCACTGTAATTTTAATGGAGACCAAATATCAAACAAAAACTCAAGAAAAACACACATAAATGTTAAATAAACCGACATAAAGTACACATTAAATACATAACAAAAAGGAAGTGACATGATTGAGCTCTGTGTTAACCTCATGGCCTCCTCTTTGACATATTTTGTGTTTTTCTCATCTGTTCTGACTATTCTGAGTGTCACTCAACCAATGCAACCCTGTTACCCACATTATCAAAAGAATACAAATTTATTTGAACATTTACTTCCTTTATTTATGTGACAGTCCACAGCTAGCATCTTTTTGAAACAATACACAATTATTTAGCCTAGTGCTAGCATTGCATTATAATATTGTAAGCATAGGAATTAAACAAATATTAAAATGTTAAAAACATATAAAGTACTATTAAACAACATTTCTGTGGCCCTGAATACAAAATTACTCAAAGAAAGAGTATTCATTATGAAGATATATATAATCTACATAACAAAATAATCAACAATTTCCTAAACAACATTTTTCAAATTTACTTTTTTATTGGTATTGGGTGCTCCAAGCATAGCACACAACAGCTACATTGTCTCATAAAAGTGTACCTTTGATGTCTGAGATGGAAAAATCTTTGTTGTTTTTGATGATTTATTATTTGTTTTTTTTCTAATACATAACAAAAAATTATAAAATAAAGGATCCATTTTTGTCTCATTTTTGAAGCCTAAATTGTGGTTCAGTTCTGTGATGACATGCAAATCTTTTGAAGCTCTTTTTAGCACACGATGATTCATACATCTCTCTAAAGCCTTCATATACAGTACAGAAGGGCACTGACTTCCTGCTAAATTTTCTCCTTCTGTGGGCGTATGTGTGTGTGTGGTTCTGCTGCTATCCATCACATCTCGTATGTGTTTTTTCTTCCAGGTGAGGGAAGAGATCGATAAATATGGGATAAAGATCTATCAGTTCCCTCACTGTGACTCGGATGAGGATGAAGAGTTCAAGCAGCAAGATAAAGAGCTGAAGGTGAGCAGGATTCACATTGAATATGTCCAAAACAGCATCTTTAATTTACTTCCTTATGGTTTTATGTTTTCAGATGATAGCTGTAACTAACCCCTGCTTCAATACAATCTTACTTCGAGCTGAATAAAAACATGAAATTGAAAACATTTATTTGGAATGAAGTACCGCTAAATAAAACAGTAGCATTTGTACTTTTACTCTGACATTAGGAATCTGAATCTTTCCTCTGTGGCTGCTGCTTGTGATGCAGGAGAGCATGCCGTTTGCTGTGATTGGTAGCAACACTGTGGTAGAAGCTCGAGGTCATAGAGTGAGAGGGAGAGTCTACCCCTGGGGCATTGTGGAGGGTAAGCAGCTCTAAACTGGAGGTTGTAGCTGTGCGGCTGTCTTTCCCAATTCTGATTGGCCAACAGTCTGTCTGGATTCACCCTCACGTTCATCCTGTCCTGCGTGCAGTGGAGAACCCGTCTCACTGCGACTTTGTGAAGCTGAGAACCATGCTGATAAGAACCCACATGCACGACCTGAAGGACATCACCAGTGACTGTCACTATGAGAACTACAGGGCACAGTGCATCCAGAACATGACGAGGTGTGAACGTGACAAAACCTACACACAGTCACAAAACATGGTTAATTATGAGTAAAACTGAGATATGGAGAACAAAACCAGGGCGATTAGTAGATCTTTGACATATTCTAAAAGTATGTGACAAAAAGTTCATTTCATTACATTACACTTCTTAAGACCATAATTTTCTCGTAATTTTTTTAAGTTTTCTTGAGCAGTCAGTATATATGTATATTCTAAATGTGAGCATACATTTTTACTTAATAACACAACATTTATTTTTAATCTCACAATTTTGTGTCATTAGTTGCGTAGACAAATTATGTGACTTTATTACTAAGTCAAAAGTTTGACTTGTTATCTCATCAATTTTACTTTGTAGCCTTGGTTTCTGTTTGCATTTGAATTTACCATCATAATAATTCAAATGAAGTTATTATCAGATAACAATCCTGTTAGTAAAGGCTTTAACACTTTGTGCTTCCATTGCAGACAGAAGAACGAGTTAGCTCATTTTCCTGTCTTGCTGACAAAAAAATCCAGTGTTACTGTGATGGATGACTGCGAAACAAATGGAAGCCGGCAGCCTGTTGTTCTCATCCCTCATGTTTATGTGTCCTGTTACAGTAAGATGAATGCAGATAAGCGTGTGGAGAGCCCCAACCCGATTCTGCCACTGTCTACACCAGATATTGAGGCTGAGAAGCTTATCAAGACGAAAGATGAAGAAGTGAGTGTCAAAAACGCGACTCTGTGACTCTGTGATATACCTCAGATGCTCAATAATACATTACAGTGGGTGTTATATAACCAAGACACTGATGTGAATTGATGACCCATATGTGTTATTATGTAAGCTGTCTTTCATGCTCCTCTTGCTCCCCTGTCTCTGTCTTGTGTTTATCTGGTGTGTCTGTAGCTGAGGAGGATGCAGCAGATGCTCCAGAAGATGCAGCAGCAGATGCATGAACAGGAACTGTGACTCCCCTCTCCCACAGCATCTCTGTCCCTTTATATCTTTATTTAGATGGCAGTGATCCCTCACCGATGCCATGTTTTTAGGGGTTGAGATGAAAAATTCTTCAGTGTCAATATTTCACCTAATTCTTTAAACTCTGGTCACAAAAAATATAGTAGATGAATGACAGCATGATGTTTTTGCCATTTGATAGTCATGTTAAACAATAGGGAGTAGCTTGCACTTTGTTATCTTTAGACCACAGGCTTAGGGATGGTTAGTTTTACTTGAAATGCTCCATGTATGCCCTCAATGAATTAAGTAGTTTATTCACTGATTGTTTGTACTGTACTTGTGGACTGACAAACAGCTGGAACAGCTGCTGGTAATATAATACCAATACTAATAATACTTATTCTGAATGTGGGGTTTTCACAGATGGTCAGATTATACAGTGAGTGGAACTGAAATGCTGACTGGAGAAACACACTGCTCTTTGAGGTTTAATATCTGCTTAATCAGGCTTAATATAATCAGTGTCCTGATCAGGACTCAGGATCAGGAGTAGTCTAATAACTTATTTCCCATAATACTGAAATTATAATATAAAGTACTTTGTATTTGAGTGGACATGCTGATGTTTTTAAATGGGTTTCTATTAAACCCAGAGATGGTTGGGTGGGGTATTACACATCAAGACTCTTCTGCATTGGCTGAACTTTTCTAACCTGGTGGTGCATCCATCTTTTATATAATGTACAGTTAATAAGCACATTACAGTCTCCTACACATCTGTCTGCAGTTGTCTTGCATTGTGAATAATCTAGGCATTTATGACTAGGAAGAGTAACGTGCAACCTAAAAAGATATCAATCCTAAAAAGTCAAAGGGGACCTATTTTGTTTCAGTGCTGTTATAGTGTTCGATGTTCACACAACTGAATTTATTTATTTAAACATGGCCAGAGGTTCACATGAGCTCTGGTTTTGGCTCTGCATGATGTCAGTGAGAGTGGGTCTTCATAATGTGGTCATCTGGCGCACACAGACGTGAGTACAGAACCACCTCCTACCTGGCCTAGCTGTTTGTAGAAAAATAAACGTAAAGCTGGAAATTAGCAGAATAGGCTCTTTTTAAGGGTTGCCTGGTAAACAAGATAATGCCAAAATGCTTTTTAAATCCATGTATTTAAAGGGGGCATAATATGCAAAATTCAACTTTTTATGTTGTTATTTTTTTTTTTAAGAATATTTGATATTTCTACAAACCCACACAAAGAAAAATAAAACCATCTTCGTGACATTCACAATGAATGATCAGCGTTGGTCTGCAGCATCAAAACAGGTGAAGCAGTTCCACTGTTTGGCAAAAAGATGCTACAAATGTTACAATTAGTTTTGATCATATACCAAGTGGCCACTACTATAGAGGGATAGTCATAAATTGACTTTAAGACCAACTTGAATCCAGTAAGACATAATCACCTGTGGGTTACCAGGTGTATTTCATGTTGCCTTTTTGCATTTCAGTGCAAGATAGTTTCTGTATTATATACAACAGGACTGTTGCAATATCAGATTTCTATTTCATGATTGCTGTGGTAACAAAAAAGTTGCAATATCTATCATAATAATAACAGTAATGGTAATAATAATTACAGCAATAATGCTATCAGTCAGATTCATCTGGAACTTTGTTTTATGTATGCATTTAAAGTCAAAGTAAATATACATCGAGCTGATGAGACTTTCACTGAAACTGTACAGAAACAATAAAAAGCCATCATATCAGAGCTCTATACTCTTTTTGCAACATGTTCATCAGAGATTTTACATTATAAGCAAGATATATGAAACCAAAGTTTGGAATACTGAAATCTCCACGCAAGATTAAAAATCAGCTTGTATATATTACCATAAATCATTTACAGGTAACTCTTTATTTATGACAGATGAACACTGTTTCAGTGTGTTTGGCTGTGTAAAAAGATGAAAACAATATGGGAAAAAGGTCAAAGAAATCCCAACAGAATCAACGCTTTGTTTCTCACCAACAGAATATAGTTATAATAAAAACATATATGTTGGTAAACATCAGTCTTTTCAATCCAAAAAGCTATTGTCGTTATTAAAAAAAAAAATCACAGATCAAATGTTACCTGCAGGATAAGACAAGTGATGGCGAACCTTCCAGTACGAGGAATAATATACACATTAAAGGAAGAAGGCTCAGTCAGAGTACTTCTTTAAATCAAGCGTCTTTGGCTATAAGTCCTCAACTGAGGATTTAATTTTATGCAAATTGTTTTGGATTTAGAGGAACGCTGTGTTGTTTGGCTTTTTGTGTCTGTTGTTCATTAGTTACTTTTTCTGTTTATATGGATCTTATGACAACTATTTACTACAACTATGATATTGTCATATGTGCAACAATGACACAGTATTTTATTTTTAATTTCATGGTTAAATGGCGACATCCTCACTGTGTAAGAAACATTGATGCTTGCCATATTACGGATGTTATTTTATGGACTGTCATGTCAGAGGTTTTGAAAATGCTTTAGAGAATATTTCCTGAATTAAAATTGTTCTACATCCCATATTTGTAACATACTAGCTTTATAATGTGGTGATGATACAGTTTTCTTTATAACATAGCCCTTTTCAGGAACAGCGTAACATAGTGATTTGCAGTATAACAAGGCCATAATAGATACAAATAAAACAATTCTTTTGTGTAAAATTATTTTGTGTCCGTCTTCTTATTTTACCATGTGTCTGTTATTGCAGACACATGAACTAACCGGCATGCAGTCTGTTTCTGTTTCTGTTGCTCTTTCTCCATACTTTAAACTTTTTCAGCTCAACCTACATCTGGACCCCCTTCGGTTCACTTACCAGCAGTGCTCTGGAGTTAAGGAAACCATCATTACCTGCTCAATCATGTCTACCTCCATCTAGACCAGCTGGCAAACACTGTGAGGGTTGTGTTTTTTTACTTTTCCAGTGCATTCAGTACCATCAGGCCTGAAAGCGATGGAGGTACATGCCTCTCACATGTCCTGGATTGTTGATTACCTGACAAGAAAATCACAACATGTGCGTTTTCAGCATTGTGTGTCTCACAAGGTGATCAGCAACATTGGGCGACCTCAAGGGACTGTCCTCTCCCCTTTATTATTCTCCTTCTACACCGAGGACTACAGTCTCTGAACAGAGCCCTTCAATCTTCAGAAGTTGATGACTCTGCAGTGGTTGGATGCATTGGTGACGGTGATGAGACAGAGTACTGGACTATGGTTTACTGCTGTGTCACATGGTGCGAGCAGAATCATCTGCAGCTCAACGTGACAAAGACCAAAGAATTTACTGTGGACATTCGGAGGACCAGGAAACCTGTGACCCTGTTTCAATCATGTTTCAGGTGGTCGATTTGGACATTGTGGAGGACTATAACTACCTCGGAGTACACACTGATAATAACCTGGACTGAATTTAAAAAACCCTGGACACTGCAGGAAGGGCCAGAGTCCTCTCTATTTTGTGAAGCAGCTTAGGTCTTTTAACATCTGTCAGACAATGTTCAGGATTTTCTATGAGTCTGTTGTGCCAGTGCCATCCTGCATGCTGTTGCATGCTGGGGAAGCCGGTTGAGGGTCGCAGATGCCAACAGATTCAATAAACTGATCCGCAAGGCCAGTAATGTTATGGGGACGGAGCTGGACTTCCTTAAGGTGGTATCGGGGAGGTGAACGCTGTCCAAGATAAGGACAATGCTGGATAATACCTCCCAACCAATTCCTGATGTGCTGGCCAGTCATAGGAGCATGCTCAGTGAGAGACTAAGATTAGTGCACCACTGGACGACATAGGAACCTATTTTGACAAATTGCTGCCCCTCCCTGAGCCTGGTTCTGCCAGAGGTTTCTTCCAGTTTAAATGGAGTTTTCCTTTCCCACTGTTGCCAAAGTGCTTGTCTGAGGGTCATTTGATTGTTTGGGTTTCTCTGTATTATTGTAGGGTCTCCTCCTTACAGTATTAAGTGGCTTTAGGTGACTGTTGTTGTGATTTGGTGATATATAAAATGAAGTGAATTGAACTGAAATTGAAATTCATCAAACTAATTTAGATCCTGAAGATGTTTCTTTGCCATTTAAACTTTCATAACGACATGCATCACACTAAAGTCAGGGTTCATGGATGCTTTTTCATAATTTGTTGCTTCATTGCCAACCTTCTATTGGCACAAGACAAATGTCCCTTTTATCCAGCTGCTTTAACGCTTGTGTCTGGTGCTCATCCTGAGGACACCCACTGAGTAATACCCCGTCCATTTGGATTCAGGCTTAAGTTAGTCACTGATCTCGTCGTCTCATCCAAAAAGAGTAATACAAGTAAAAATAAAATAAAATAAACAATAAAAGGTAAAAAAAAAAAAGTAATAGATGTCATAAACAAGACTGGTTATTATTTATACTATTACACTGACCCACTGTTTCTAAGGTCCCGTAAAATGAATTTTAATTATTTGATTTCTTTTAAAATAATGCAAATAATGTTAAAAGAAAAAATTAAAGTTTCTCCCAGACTGTGTACAAAGGTTTTTTTCAGTGCAGGAGAGTAAATAATGTAATTTCACTGTATAAAAAGCAAAGAGACTAAATAAAAATATATATTTCTGCTGGGGTTATATATTTTGAGGGTTACATGTCAGAATATTGTAGCTCATCTCTTTGTTGATGAGGTCTAAACATTTATTTTTCATATACAGTTATATACTTTGTCAATGAAAGACTGGTGCGCAATTAAACTTTCTGTACTACAAAGTATCTAAAGTTTAATGGTAAACGGATCTTATTGGTAGACTGTTTGATGGTGCAGGGTAAGGGGCACTACGTCATTAGTTTCAGGTCTTCAGATGAGCTACGTACAGCCCTGTTGGCTGGAGGAAGTGTTTCCGTGCATGTGGGTACAGGTTTCGGCGGGTTTGCAGCCGTCTGATGCGGCGAAATAGGACAAACGGGGTAGTTCAGTGGTCCTGTCCACCGATGTGACAGCCTGCCGGAGCTCCGAGTAGAGGCGGGAATGGAGCGGAGCGAGGCGGACGAGAATGAGAGCAGTTCATCCCAACAAAACACGATGTGGAAACAGCTTCAAGCCAAAGCCAAGCCGCTGCTCAGCCCCAAGCTGGGCGCCAGAGAGCCAGAAGACAAGAAGGAGCGAGGCATGTGGATGTTCAAGAAGATGAAGCGGAAGGAAAATGTCGTCCTGGACCGGGTGATCTCCTCCTCGCAGCCCGACCTGCTCTTCTCCTCTCCGGCTGATGTGGACATTAAGGAGGCACAGCTCTGCGGCAAAGCAGTCGGCCGGGACAAGCTGCAGTTTTCGATCAAGCACAAGTCCACCAGCCCAAACAAACCCACGCTGTCTCAGCTGGTGCAGTCCCACCACAAGAGCTCCTCTCTGGGGTCTGCGTGCCTGGAGAGGCTGGCCGAGCCTCCGGGCGCCGATGGCGGGGGCGACGCAGCAACAGCTGCCGCTGCGGAGGAGACACATCTGGAGAGCAGTGAGGATCAGCTGGTGAGCTCCTGCCTCGATGATTTGGGTTTTTAAATATATATGTCTGAGCGATCCAGTTCAGTAATTATTAGATTAGCCCTCATTCATACTGACAGGTTAACGATCACAAGTTTTGAGTGTGTGAGCGGAAACAAGCAAGTACATGACAAGATTTGTAACGCGATAAGTGTCAAATGGCATATGCGTCAAAATCTGATAGGTTAACAGATAATGACAAAATAAAAAACTGTTCCGTGATCTCCATTTTACATCACATTACTGTGTTTTAAGTAGTTAAGAGTAGTCATTGTATAAAGTGTTTAATTATTGTGTGGTATTCTTATCAGAGAGAGCCCTAACCATCAGAGTACGAAGAAGCACCAAGCAATCAGGGTACAAGAACTCCCCTTTAACAGGAAGAGACCTCAGGAGATTTGGTTGGTTGAGGGTGAAGGAAAAGACAGGAACAAAGATGAGTATAGCAATCAGTGTTGGTCAAGTACTTGAAAAAAGTAATCAGTAACTAATTACTGATTACTTCCCCCAAAAGCAATCCCGTTACTACACAGACAGTTAAATAGAATAGAATTAGCTTATATTAGTCTCCCCTTGTGGAAGTTAGCATTATTCGTCTTCTGTTGTGCATTTTTGTTGTGCAGATTTAAAAAATAAAATTATTTACATTGTAATAAATAAGTTAAAATATTTGAAAATAATATTAAATAATAGCCATAACCCATAAACTGTGATAATACTCCCAATAAGGGGCTCTGTTTTCATGTAAAGAATTTAGGCTTCTTGTATTTTGAAGGCCTATGAGAGAAATAGATTTCTAGGTCACTTGACAAAGACCCACCCATCAGCACGCCATAAGTGACATGGCATCACTTTAGACTGAATTTACAAAAGCAATATCACATCTCTCATTTAGATCTCTCTCAAATCCTTGCTGGGATCCAGACAACTTTGGCTTCTCTGGGAAAAAGATCCCTGTCTTCCCTCCTCTACGAGCTCTATAAACACACAGAAATGATGTTGAGTTTTTATTTTGGTCCCTAATAAAGTGAAAAATATAAATAAAGCAGAATATCTTCAGGACTGGCCTGCTTCTCATATTTTTGTTACTTTTTTGCTTCTCATACCTGATTTCAAAACACCAAGATGGCAAATCAGTCAGCTAATTGGAGATAAAGTATCTGAAATTCAGGAGCGGGGCCACGCCTCCTTCCAGTTCTCATCTATATATGTTCCCCCAGTTCTACAAGCTGTTTGTTCTCATTTACGTGCCCCACCCTTCCTCCCTCCCCTTTTTACTTCTTTAACTTCTTTACTTCTCTACCAGGACAGGGCCCAGTCCCCTTTGAGGCCATACCCCAAACCGCAGCTCAATTCATGTCCAAGCCATTCACCTTTATCTACTAAAACGCTATCAAACCTCAAACGAGGACGTGGGCCTAGCAAGTGAAATGCTTTAAAATGGGACGTCACTGTGGTCACATCACACTTTTAAATGAACTGACACTATCACACTAACATCTGCTAAGAACGCTGCTGTTATTTTTGAGAAAACATTTCATTTTGAATTTCACATTTCAAAGCTCACCCAGTTTTTTTCTTTCATGTCAGAAGCATTGCAAAACTCAAACCTTTATTGACTCGAAAGAAGTCCACAATAATTTAATAACTTTTAATTCATTAATTCATTCTAATTTCTGTCTATAATTGTTCTGGTAATGTGTGTCTGATGTAATGAATATAAGGGCATGTGTTTGACTCTGTGTTTTTATGTTTGAATGTGTGATTCAACAGTGAAGCACTTTGTAACTGTGTATTTTTAAAAAGTGCTATACAAATAATATTATTGCTATTATTGTATGTGATGACTTGGGAGTGAGAATGGATTGGCTAGAGAGAGGTGCGCCTGGCGGCCTGGCAGCTAGTCAATAGTAACATGTTTAAGTGGACTAAATCAGTAACTCAATGAACCCCAATTAACACATTTGTGTGTCCTCCAAAGTCACACACAAATCTTTTTAACATTTGTAAATCTTAGTTTACCATTTGGATTATATCACACATATCACCCTGCCTACTGTGGTCTGTGTGGTTCCTTGTGCAAGATAGACTCCAAAGTCTCATTTACTTCCATCCATGTATGCTG